TTGAGTGTTGCCGCTGCTACGTCCTCTCAGCTGACAAAGCAAGGAAATATATGTGTGCCATAGAAACTAATGTTTATATACATATCGATAAGCATTTCCATATGAACATGAGTTCATTCCTATGTCTGCAACTCTAGTCCATGGCCACTCCAACAGTGAGAAGCCTGGCTCTTCTGTATGATACTGACACTATAGGCACAGGACACTACATAATTTGTTAAAAACCCACAGAATTTTAAAGCACAAAGAGTGAACCAGTATATACAAATTTTAAAAAACCATTTAGGAGGTCAAGGCATACCAGGATAGAGCATAGACCGTGGCAAAATAATCTGTATTATAAATGTATTAAAACATCTTACTGAAGTAGGTGGGAGAAGAAGGTGGTGACCTGAGTAGCTTTGGAAATGAGTGGAATTATGAGACTGAAGGCAAAAAGAACTGTACATAAAACTTTACTCTTGTTGATGAAGTTTCCCATCAGGGGATGGAGGTTAACAATTCTGATACAGTGAGACCTGTCTGCTGGAAATGAACAGTTAAGTAAATATTGGGGGATGGCGGGAGCCAGGCTTCTCACTGTTGGAGTGGCCATGGACTAGAGTTGCAGACATAGGAATGAACCCATGTTCATATGGAAATACTTATAGATATGTGTATAAACATTAGTTTCTATGGCGCACATATATTTCCTTTGCTTTGCCAGTGGAGAGGACGTAGAAGGAGCAACACTTAATTAGTAATGGGCATATCTTATGCCCAGGCCTTGGTTTGTAAAACCATTCTCCAATAAAGAAACCAAGACTGCTTGGAGAAATAGCTGATTCTAGGATAAGGGAAGGAATATACAAGAGGAACCTGGAGGATCCTGTAGTGGCACAAAGCAAGGAAGTACTCATAAAAACAAAGCAACCAAAATCACATTGGTAGGGGTATGTCGAAGGGACATGGGAGCCAACTGAAAGAGGTCCCAGTGGTCAAAGCTGGAACAACCAGAATATCTAAAGTAGTATTGCATTAAGCCCAAAGTGTAAAGTAAATATCCGTGCATCTACATGGATAGAAATGAATGCTTAAATAATTAAATAAGGGAGAGGAAACAAATCTCTCCCGCAGAAGAATTCCAAATTATTCACAAAGACTCTGTCCTCAAAGAGGCAGAGCATAACTCCCTACTCCTTAGGTGTGAGGTGTCTACATGACCTCCTTCCAAAGAGTATACAGCACGGAAAAGGCAGGAAGGAAGATTAACTGGAGCAGAGAAATCTGACAAATACAACCTCAGCCAGGTGATCAAAGTCAACACCAACAGTGATGAGTCACATTGATGGTATGTGCTGTAACACCCGTCTGGTCACGAGAAAAGGCTCAGGCAAATCTCAGTACAGGGACATTCTGAAAAAACAATGCCTGACCAGTACTCCCCCAAATTGTCAAGGTCATCAAAAACAAGGCAAGTCTGAGAAGCTGTCAAAGCCGAGGGGAGCCTGAGGAGATACAGCAACCAACCGTAAAGTGGCATTCTGGAACAGAAAAAGTACATTAGGTAAAAACTAAGGAAATCTGGATAAAGTATTCACTTTAATAAAGATGTATCGATATTCGTTCATTCACTGTAACAAATGTACCATAGTAACCTAAGATGTTATTAGTAGGGGAAATGGGCTTGGACTCTACCCGAGCTTCACAATTTTTTTCTGTAAATCTAAAACTCTTCTTAAATACAAAATGCGTTCAAAAATAATAAAATAAAAAAAAAATTTTAAACGATAAGCAAGAATATAAGCAGGCAATTTGTGGAAGAGAAAACGCAAGTAGTCAATAAACACGGAAAAAACCCCACGACGCCTGTGGTCTTCGTGGAAATATGAATCAAAATAACAATGGCACACTCTTCGTTCGCACATCCAATTAGCATACGCTATAGAGAACAATACTATTTAACTGTGGCTGAGAGGCAGTTTTGCAGGAAAGTGGACACACTCATTTCTTGATGGTAAAAGTGTAAATGACTAAAACTTTGGGAAAATAACCTGACATTGTCCCCTAAGAATGTGCTTATCTTTGGAGGCCCCATTCTACTTTGGGGAATCTTCCGGAAATAAGAGCAGTGGTGCAAACAAACAAAAGGGCACATTTTGAAGCTGGGTTTGAAGGTGGGGCTATCAGAACACCATCTGAATATCTCCCAACGAGAGAATAGCTGAATCAGTTAGTCTACCCATCCTGTGGAATATTTATTTGGCTAGTTAAAAGAACTGATGGGTGAGGTCCCTCTGGGTTGGCCTGGAGGGATTCCATGACACATGAAGAGGAAAACGTTGCAGGTTAATGTTTATGGTCCTGGTTCTGTACCACGCAGCACAACATGCAGATCTGCATGTGTGAGGCTAGGCGTGGACGCAAGGCTGTTTCCCCACAGGAATTATCAGGAAAGGGTGGGCCAAGCCATCATCTTTTTCCTTACGCAGCTCTGTATCGTTTGTAACACAGAACAAGTGTGTGTTACATTTTAAGAAATTTAATGACGTTTAAATGGGAACGTTTATGGTCACGTAGTAGGCAGAGTGGTTTCCCCACCCACCCAAGACACTCGGTATTAATCCCTGGAACCTGTGGATATGTTACTTTACATGACAAAGAGTTTTAAGTCATATTTGCAAGTGTGAGTAAAGATTTTGAAATGGGGAGAGTATCCTGGGTTATCCAGGTGAGCCCAATGTAATCACAAGGGTCCCTCGAAAAAGGAGGCAGGAGGGCGCCTGGGTGGCGCAGTCGGTTAAGCGTCCGACTTCAGCCAGGTCACGATCTCGCGGTCCGTGAGTTCGAGCCCCGCGTCAGGCTCTGGGCTGATAGCTCAGAGCCTGGAGCCTGTTTCCGATTCTGTGTCTCCCTCTCTCTCTGCCCCTCCCCCGTTCATGCTCTGTCTCTCTCTGTCCCAAAAATAAATAAACGTTGAGAAAAAAAAATTAAAAAAAAAAAAAAAGAAAAAGGAGGCAGGAGGGTCCCATCCAGAGTAGGACAGAGCAAAGGTTGTAGTGATGCAAGCCAAGGGGCCACGAGCCAAGGAATGCAGGTGGCCTCTGAGAAGTGGAAAAGGCAAGGAAATGAATTCTCCCTCAAAGTCTGCAGAGAGAGCACAGTCCTGCGGACGTCTTAATTTTAGGACTTCTGACCTCCAGAATTGTAAGCAGATAAATTTGTGTTGTTTTAAACCACCGAGATTGTGGTACTTTGTTAGAGCAACAATAGGAAATAAACACAGGGTCACATTTAAGATATGACCCGTCATTTTTACTTTAGTATTCTGAGTTCCCAAAGGAAGATTTTTATGGGGTAAAAACGAAGTAGCCAAAGTATCTCAGATTTCAGCTAGGGAGGAGTCAGTCCCATAGAAGAGATGTGTGAAGAAGGCCTTCAAAGATCACAAAGTTTGTTGAGGAATGGCAGTGGTCCTCACCCCTGGCTGTGCATGAGATCAGAATCAGTCACAGATGCTTAGAACACTCCTCCCAAGGGGAGTTCTCACCCAGGCTCACGAGGGGACGTGCGTGAGGACGCTCGCTGCAGAACTGCCGGGTCCAGAGGCCAGATGAAGGCAACACAGGTGTCCATCCCTAGGTGACGGACAGTCAAGTGCGAGGGATACTGTGAAGAAATGAGAAGCCATGAATAGACATTCATACGTCCATCAGCACAGAACCTCAAAACATAGTATTGAGGGCAAAAGGTAAGAAAGCATACAATTTATGAATGTACGTTAAAAACACAAAGACTCAGAACATGATCCATTCGCAAACACAGATGCGTACTTAAGAACGTATAAAAGTCCATGGGGTGCCTCGGGTGAGAGTAGGGATCAGGGACCAAGAGGTCAAAGAAAATAAAAAGCAGGACTCTTTGAATAACTCAGTGCTGGTAAAGTGGTATATATGGTAAAGTCTGACCAATTCAATTCTGCACCCGGACCCCTAAATGGAAGAAGAATAGATTCAGGTTAATGAGATCCAGCTCAGGCCTGGGCCTTGGCCATTTTTAAAAGCTCCAGAGATGATTCTGATGTGCCTCCAGGTCTAAGAACCTGAGGTTCATGCTGAACACAGGCAGTTCGGTGAACAACCGTCTAGACAGGAGGAGGCTCTGGAGAGAAGGGAGGGTAGTAGGGGAGACACGGACCCCTAAAATGGCAGCTATTGTGTTTGGATGGGTGGCATTATAAGAGACCCCCTTCCTGTCTCTTCGACACTACTCTGAATGATGTTGCATTGCTTTTATGTATTTTCAATGCCATCGACTTTTGTTTTTAAGTAGTTCAGAGTTTCTAGGGAGAGTTAAAGGTCATGAGGGAACTCAACAGCCACTTGAGATTTTAAAGCTCAGAGTGAATAGTAGCAGTTGCCAAATTCAGCAAAAATCAATGTTCAAGTGCAGTTGAAACGACTTAACTCTTGAAGGTCGGAAGAAGTCTTAACAGTTATACTTAAAACATTTGTCCTTATATGTTGCATTTCACAGTTCAAATGAGGAAGTACATTTAACTGATATCTAAATACATGACATACTTATAAAAAGGAAAGTGAGCGTACCGAATGGGGAGAACAGGTTCGTCTGAGTCCTCCCAGGAGCAGATGTGAGATGATAAAAGATAGGAGAAATTTATTAGGGGAGGCATCAGAGAGAGCAAACTTGGAGGGAGCCAGAAGAGAGTGGGGGAGCCTGGCTTTGAACCATAATGTGGGTCTGGGACTGAGCAATGGAAACGGGGAAGGCACTCTGGGGGAGAATTGACTGACATTGCCTTGCAATCTAAAGAAGGACTGATATGGCTGTCAGGGAGTTCCCAAGCAGTCACAAGGCAGAGGAGGCCACGCCCTCTAGCAATGGGCACGCCCCCTAGCAATGGGCAACATGGTGGGGAGGCGTGGCCTTGGCGTGAAACGTGAAAGATTTTGCAGCGGCGGCTGAGGCCTTTGGTCAGTTGCACTACCCGCAGTTGCATATGAGTGATGCATTCTCGTAGCCACCACTGGCAAACTCAGTTTTGTCCACAAATGTTTGTGAACTGGCCTGATGTCTATGCTTGGACTACGGTCATGACATCATTCAGGGAGTGGTGGCACCTGTATTTAAACTTTTTCTAGGACTTGCCTGAAACTTTCACTCAGCTTATTTTTTGTGATGACAAGATCAGGGACCGTGGAAAGCAGAGGACAAAGACGTGTAATAATGACAGGAAACTTGAAGATGCGGCAAGATTCCTGAGGTTGGTGCCTTCCTAGGTAGTTAATGGACCTGGTCCTATTCTTAGAACTGTGCCCAGAGAACACAGCAGGGCTACTGAGGACTTTGGGTACTCCCTTTACGAATATCAGCGCTGAATCAAAGACCATAGGCCTTGCCTTGTTTGGGGACACCACGCTGGCCTCCCGCACGCTCTGCGACATTGGGGAGAGGGTTGGAGCACCAATAACGCGTGCAACTGACCTTCCACCACTTTGGCAGGGTGGAGGCTTAGAAACTAAATTTAATTTAACAAAGTAAAAACGTGTGATGTTTCTGGCACACCCGTATTGATGGAGCACAAGTCACTGCAATTTCATATAATTTTTCATGTGGGTGCTAGGAAGTCATTTTCAGTCATTTTGGGGGGCACTCTTCTCTTACGGTTGTACTCGGGTCCTGGGGCATACAGGGTCAAGAAGTCCTTTGGCCCGCAGCTCTGCTCTTCCTCGGCCCATTTCTGGCTATGGAGACATCTGAGTGGGTCACCCTTGTCTGGTGTCCTGCGGACAAGTCTGAGACAGGTTTTCTTTGGTTGAAAGATGGCTTTCAGAAACCCAGGTGCCTTTCATCTTGTGGCTCCTTTCTCCTACAGCCTTAAAGATCTCCATACCCACCCAACAGCTTGTGCATATAAGAGGGAAAACAGGGAAATGGGTAACTTCCTTAGCCAGCAAATGCCACAAACTTATAGTCAATTGGCAACTAGTCACATGGCCCCATCTGGATGTGGGGGAGTCTGGGACGTGTAGTTCCTAGCTTGTCTACTCTATAATATGGAAGGGGAAGGTGAGGGAGCATGAGTCTTTGCTGTACCAATAGCCAAGTTTGTCTGCCTTCCATAGCCTCAGTTCCAGCTAATGACCATACTTCATACTTCTCTGAAAAATAGAACCATTCAGACATTTCCTTATCTTCCTACTACCAAATCCACCAGGAAATGTATGTACCCATGCTTCTCTCTTGACACGGGTGTAACGCCTGTCACATGGTCCTTTCTTTGTTGTCTACATCTTGACTGAAGACAAAGACAGAAAACAGTGCCATAGGTGCTAAGTACCCCTCAATCCCAAAGTGGAGTGCCAGTTGATAATGGAAAGCAGCCCCTAAGATAGCTCCCCATGGTCCTCATCTCTTAGTATTCGTGCATTTGCCTCGTTGCCTCCTCTCGAGGGTGACCTAGGCCTGGAGATTCACTCCTAATAAACAATGCCGTAGAAGTGGCACATGTCCTTATGTGATTAGTTATTAAAAGACTATGGCTTCTGTTGGGCTCCCTTGCTCATTCTGAGTTAATCCAGCTGCCGTGTTCTGAACTGCCCTATGAGGAGGCCCACCTGGCAAAGAACTCACATCTCTGGCCAAGTCAGTGAGGACCGGAGGCCTGCCAGCAGCCTTGAAAATGAGCTTGAAAGTGGATGCTCCCAGTCAAGCCTTGAAATGACCGCAGCCTGAAACGGACATCTTGATTGCAGCCTTGGGAGAGAGCCTAAGCCTAAGGCCCCCAGCTGAGCTGTGCTTTGCTGACTCACAGTGTATCAGTTTGCTGAGGCTGCCATGACAAAGTCCCACAGACCGGGTGGCTCAAACAACAGACATTTATTTTCTCACAGCTCTGGAGGCTGGAAGTCAAAGTCAAAGCGTTGGCAGGTTCGGTTTCTCCTGAGGCCTCCCTCCTTGGCTTGCAGATGGCCACCTTCTCTCTGTGTCCTCACAGGGCCTTTCCTCTGTAGGCAACAACCCCTGGTACCTATCCCACTTCTTACAAGGACACTAGTCATATTGGATCGTGGCCCACCTTATGACCTCATTTAATCTTAACTACCTCTTTAAAGGCACGACCTCCAGATCTAATCACGTTCTAAAGCACTAGGGGTTAGAGTTTCAACCTATGAATTCTGGAGCCACGCAGCTCAATCCTTAACACACAGAAACTGTGAGATAATAAGTATTTGTTGTTTTAAATGCTAAAATTTGGGACAACTTGGAACACAGCAATAGATAACAAGTACAAATGCCTAGGTGAGACTTTCTAAGAGACTGTGAAACTGTCTCTGTCCATGACCCTCCTCCAGGCATCTCCAAGAAGACTGGGGGGTTTCACTGGGCACGGAAGCAGGCGCTAGTGAGGCTTTCCGTAAAGAGAGATGTATGTCAGTGTGCTGAGCTGTTACCATCCTCCCCAACCCCCATCGCTGGAAGCAAAGGAACATATCCACCTCGCCTCAACTGGTGTGGGAAGTGACAGATGTCAGGACATGCTACCCCAAAATACAGCACCTTGGCATTGTTAAAAAGAAAACCACAGGTCCAAAATGGAGTCGCTTGTGCTAGGCCCATGCCACCAAAGCACAGCTTAATTCCTAACCTAGTTACAGTTTCAACCTTTCCCTGGAATGTAATCTTAACCAGTCAGTCTGGAATTTCCTGGTCAGCACCAGTGAGGTCATCTACCTAATAAGACCCTTTGGTCTGCTGAAGGGAGGTGACCTGGCCCAAAAGAATCCTTTTGTTGTTGTTTACACCGAGGTCTTTGCCCCACCTCACCTCTGCCTTAAAAAAAACCTTCCATCTGGTACAGCTCTTCAGAGCTCCTTTCTATTTGCTAGATGGGGATGCTCCCCAATTCATAAACTGTAGAATACAGCCAATTAGATCTTTCGATTTACCCAGTTGAATTTGTGTGTGTGTGTGTGTGTGTGTGTGTGTGTGTGTGTGTGTGTGAAAATTAATAAAAGGAAACCTCATTTACAATGGAGTAGGGCAGCCAGCAGGGGGAGCTCTCACACCCCATCACTCCTCACTTGTCATCACAGACCCTACAGAAGGCCATGACCATCTGGACACCACTTTACTCTCCCGCAAGAGGAAGGAAGGCTTTCCTCCTCCCCAGCAATAGCCCAGCCAATGAGACACTGTCACAACAAAAAGCCACCGTACATCAAACTCCCATTTTACTCCAGTGGAGCAAGAGGAAGGAAGGCTTTCCTCCTCCCCAGCAATAGCCCAGCCAATGAGACACTGTCACAACAAAAAGCCACCGTACATCAAACTCCCATTTTACTCCAGTGGACTTTGTTTACACCAGCCTTGCCAATTTCTCCTTTCCTCCATCACAGAGCCTTCATCTCCTTTGTTCCCTGCACTTGCCGTGGTTTTGCCTTAGCTTGCTTGTCCTGGATTGCAGCTCTCTGCTATTCCCGACTAAACTCATTTTTGCTGGTAACATAACTGGCATTTTTATTCTTTTTTGAAAATTTCTTTTTTTTACGTTTATTTATTTTTGAGACAGAGAGAGACAGAGCATGAATGGGGGAGGGGCAGAGAGAGAGGGAGACACAGAATCGGAAGCAGGCTCCAGGCTCCCAGCCATCAGCCCAGAGCCCCATGCGGGGCTCGAACTCACGGACCACGAGATCGTGACCTGAGCTGAAGTCGGATGCTCAACCGACTGAGCCACCCAGGCGCCCCGGCATTTTTATTCTTAAGGTTAACTGTTTACAACAGCATATTGAATATGGGGCGCCTGGGTGGCTCAGGGGGTTCAGGTTAGGACTTCGGCTCAGGTCATGATCTCAAGGTTCGTGAGTTCGAGCCCCACGTCGGGCTCTGTGCTGACAGCTTGGAGCCTGGAGCCTGCTTCCGATTCAGTGTCTTCTTCTTCTCTCTGCCCCTCCCCCGCTTGTGCTCTATCTCTCTGTCTCTCTTAAATAAATAAATAAATAAATAAATAAATAAATAAATAAATAAATGTTTCAAAAAATTTTAAACAGCATATTGAGTATTTTAAACTGGAGGAGTTTGAGAAAACAACAGAAGCAGGATGTTCACTTTGACCTTTCCCTGCCCTTCTCAGAATGGGTCATAAAACCCTCCTGTGAGAGGTGGCCTCCCTATACCTGGAGGAAAGGAACATCCTAATATCGGAAGACAACAGGACACTGTAGGAGCAGAAAAGTTTTCCTTTCTTCCCTTCTAAATTCTTTGGCTGGTCTAATAATTACATTGACATAAGACAGAGTACCATGAAGAAAACAAACAAAAGTTTAATAACTGATATACCTCCGGTATACACGGGACAGATCCAGGAAAAGGAGGTATAACTCTCCAAAATGCCTGAAGCCATCACTTTTAAGTACCATCTCAAGCTAAGGACAAAGCAGGTGTTGGGGTAGGGAGTCAGTTATGGGAGATTACCAGGAATCGCAATAAACAAGGAAGCACAATTAATAAGGATAAGGTTATTATGCAGATTTAAATTACTGCCTCCTTCATCATAAGAGTTTCTAAAGATTTGTTCATCCTCCTCTTCAAGTTACAGATGGGGAGACACCCTTGCTAATAGAGCTTTCCTTTGTAAATGTAAATGTCTTTTACAAAAGGGGAACTTCTCCATTTTCAAAGCTTCTTCTGTGTCTGCAGCTTCTTAAAAAGAACCAGCTTAAAAGAATCAATATGCTAAAGAAGCATTCCTTGGGGTGGCAAAATCTGCTCCCCTTCAATGCCAAGAAGAACCCCAATAAACAGGTCTTCTCCCAGCTCACTCTGCTTACTCCATACTCCTCAGTCTATCATATTCCTACACAATTTCATCTATACCACTCCTCGTCAGACACAGCACAAAACTACACAGACCTTCATTTCCTTATGAAGGCTCCCATGTCATGTAAAACTTACAGCAAACAAATCTGTATGCTTTTCTCCTGTTAATATCTTTGTCAGTTTAATTACTAGACCTAGCTGGTACCCTAAGAGAGTCAAGGAAAACTTTTTCCTTCTCTACTGAAGCTTTGAGAGAACTGAAGAGTGTGACATGTGTCCCCTGGATTTAGGGGGAAGAGTGGCTGGTACCTGACCCCCACCTTGGGAACACCCTTCTGCCTGAGGGTGCCTCTATCCGGCTTCAGATCTGAGAGGGAAAGAGGCGAGCAGGTGAAGAGTAGCAGGAAAGGACACCCCCAACCTTCCACTTTGATATAAGGATTATTTTGAGCTAAAGGCAACCGAGAAGCAGCAGATACAAGAAAAGGTCTCTGCCTTCCCCCTATTTGCCTAAAAGCAGGACGTTTGTAAAGGCATACCCCCACCCTCTCTACCAGGAAGGACAGAAGTTTATCACTGGAGTCAATTCTAGACTCTTACAAGCGCCAAAACCTTGCTAGCTAAAAGTAGCCCTTATCCATTCGTTTCCCCATATATTTGCTTTCCCACAATCTGCCAGCCTGAGGAGCTCAGAGTTTTTTTTTTTCCTTTGTCTTATCACTTCTCTACAACTTTCTTGTTCTTTTGTCATGCTATATAAGCCCAGGTTCTAACCACCCCTTTGAGTTACTCATGGCTGAATGCTCCCCTTGCAAATGTACATGTTAATACACTTCTGTTTTCTCTTATTGTTCTATCTTTTGTCAGTCTAATTGGTGGGGCCCTAGCCAAAGAACCTAAGAGGGGCAGAGGAAAAAGGTTCCCCCCCCCCCCTCCTACACATGTTTCCAGGCGCCAGGTGTAAATGGGTGGAAGGGGGCTACACTTGGAGGCCTGAAAAGGGACACTGGTGAAGGATCTGTCTGGAGGGGAAGGTGACCCAGCAAAGAGGGATGCTGCTGGAGGTTGGGGGGCTGGGGGAGATGTAAGCCAGAGCTCCTTAAACTGGACTGCTGATCGCATCACCTGGGCCTCTTGTTAACATGTGGATTCTGATTCAACAGGTGAGGTGAGCCTAAGTTCTCCATGTCTGGCGGGTGATGCCTGTGCTGCTTACCAGCAGAAGGCTGGAGAAGGTACCCGCTGTGGGTATAACACCCCTAGAGATGGGGAAAGAATAAAGGGTTTCCTCCCTGCACTGAGTCTAGCTGGCGCCATAAGCTGGGAGCAAAGTGGATGCAGTAGCCCCTGCCATCAGACCTTCCCAGGGACCTTGGTCCTGTCCCCTCTCTCTGACTGCCAAGGTTGCAGCCCCAAACCTTCCCTCCTTCTCTGATATCATCAGTTCCTTTCTGCCTGTTAGATCCTCCCCAGCCACACACCAACATACACATCTTCTTTAACCAAGCAACATAAACCCTTTGCCCCTTCAGCCACAGTTCACAGTAAAATTTCTCCTCAGAGCATCCACATTTTCTCCACGTCCTTGCCATACATTCACTTTTTAAAAGCACATTTAAATTGGGAAATATGTATACATAGGAGGGTAAAGAAGGTTTGTTTGTTTTTTTATTCCTTGGACAAGTAACTAGTTTCTCTGAGGCTTCTTTTTCTTATGGTAGCAAGGATATGGCCCTGCTATGCTTTGAGAGCACTAAATAAGAATCAGAGGCACAAAGGAGGTCCTCAGTAAACCACCTCAGTCTTGGCTGAAGATAAGAAGAAACCCCCATGGCGGATGCCTGGGTGACTCAGTCAGTTGAGTGTCTGACTCATGATTGCGGCTCAGGTCATTGTCTCACAGTTCGTGAGACAGAGCCCCACATCAGGCTCTGTTGCTGACAGCACAGAGCCTGCTTGGGATTCTCTCTCTCTCCCTCTCTCTCTGCCACTCTCTCACTCTGTCTCTCTCTCTCAATAATTAAACATTAAAAAAGAAGAAGAAAGAAACCCCCATGGCTCCAGGTACAGCAGGGCTGGCGTTGGCGGAGATGTGCCCAGACACGTCCAGGCATGTCCCTGGATTTCTCTCTGCCTCCCTGCCCCCATGCAGTCATCACCTCGTGGCCTCCATTCTCTGTGGCCTGGGCTGGAGCTGAGGACTGAAAAATGAATCAGCCAGGAAAGGGCAAGAATGAGAGGCCAGCAGACTATGCATTCCACCCCCCTCCACCCCCTGCAAGCTCCCTAAAGTACAATCTATCCCTCAGGTCCCAGGGGTCTGGTGATTTCTGGATCTCTCTCCTATTAAACAATGAAAACTCAACTGAGTAAATGTTAAAGATAATGATTGGCTTTACTGAATCATTCATGAATCGGGCAGCATCCCACCTAGCAAATAGAAAGAAGCTCCAAAGGGCTACAAAAAGGAAAATGTTTTTAAAGGCAAGACAAGGAAGTCATTTAAAAAAAAAAAAAAGAAAGAAAGAATTATTTCGGGCAATATCACCTCCCTTTGGGGGACGAAAAGGCCTGTCTTCTTAGGTGAATTCCCTTACCCATGCCAACCAGGAAATTCCAGACTGACCAGTTAAGATGACATTCCTGGGAAGGGTTGAAACTGCAGTTAGGTTGGGTATAAAGTCCCAGTGTGGCGACATGGCGTTAGCACAAGGGACTCCATTTTGGGCCTGTTGATTATTTTTATTACTCCCTTATTCCATATATTCCATACCCTGTTCTTACTGCATGTGCCCTGGGGGGCTAGGATGTGCCAGCCGCGGGGCCAGGCGCCAGAGGGTTTCAGAGACTACGACCCAACACATTTCCTGTCCTCCAGGAATTCATCAGAGGGGAGAACAAGGCAATCGGTTCCAAATCGGGACTTCATGGGGAGGGATGGCTATGTGACATTGACTGAGACACTTCCAAGGACACTTCCCATCTCTTCAGCCACAAAATAGGGAGAGTGACATGTACCTTTCAGGGCTGTTTTGAAAGTGACACGGTGCAATCTAGCTCTTCGGATTTACACAGTAGGAATTTTTCTGTTTTGTTTTCTCTGTCGAGAAAAAAATGGAACAGCCCCGTAAGGAAGGGAACTTACTTCTTTCTAAAGATATGCAAACACATTGGAGATAAAAATAAGAATCATACATGGTAATGCATATTATAACCTGAAAGACAGAAACGCTGTTTGGGGAATTTTTGAGTTTTATTGAGAATTAAACCCCACCTTGCTGGGTGAAAGGTGAAAGGTGAAAGGTGGAAAGGTGATATCCTTGTCCAGGCTTTGGTGTCGCCACTAGGTGGCATCAGTCTGTGGAAACTAAACTGTGGCCTGACTGCAAAGTGACTCTGCTTTCCCTGTGGAAGGTAGAAAAGAGAGAACACAGCTAATTGTCAAGAACTAAGCTGAGGCAGGTATTGAATTTTCATCTCATTTCTAAATTTAGTTCTTAAGCCGTGTGACAAATAGAATAAAAGAGACAGAATTACAACCGAGTGAGAGAAATGTACATATTGGTCTTTCTCTTGTAAAATACCTCCTGGAGGAAAAAAAAAAAAACAAAAACGTGTTCTACTGCAATGCTGTTAGATGGTCAGGGCTTTGCAGATGCGTTCTTGGAGGAATTTGTGAATGCAGATCCCACAGTAATGAGTGGACACGAAACATCTTGCTTTGGGAGGTTTCTTATTTGACTTCCTGAGGGATTTCTTTCGATTCATATCTACCTGGAAATTCATGGAAAAATGTGAAAATGTTGTTTGCCTTCATTTCTCTCTTAAATGTTGTCTGTTTTATTTTCGCTTCTGCGGGGCTGGGGAGCACCCTGGGAGCTGTCCTTCTCACCCACTTTATTCAGGATTAAAAAGAGGGTTTTCACTCCCCTCTAGTGGCTGGCTCTGGTCTCCTTGTCAGGTTGAAAGCGCAGAGGAGCTGGGTCAGCAGGGGTGCGGGGCACGCGTCCATTGGGAGGAGAGACTGAGAAGGTCTCCAGGCTGTGCAGGGGAGGGACAGAGGAAGATTCCTGCCCCAGGGAGGCCAGGCTCTTCTGCCCCACTCCCCGCTCCCAGGCAGGAAAACAGGCCTGGCCACCGGCAGCCACAGGAGCTCTCCTGACTCAGGGCAGCACCCAGAAGGTCCCTGCCCTGGGGATGGCAGGAGGGCCCAGCCCTGCAGGGGGAGCCGGCGTGGAAGCCACTCAGGCCTTGTGGTTCTGTGCTGTGAGAGGAAGGAAGAGGCCACAGTATGGGACAGTGTAGTTCTAGACAGTGGGAGAGGGAGAACTTTGTAACCCCAGTCGTGTGCATGAAAAGGGCAGTCACAGGACTGGATTCACGATGGACCGTGCAAGCTCGGACGTGAAGGCAGTCGTCAGACAGACGCAATCAGACGCATGCATCCATCCAGCCAACAAACCTCTTCCCCCCACTTTTATGATAATGTCCAAATATGACTTAGTGCCTCCCCCACGAGTCAGGCAGCTGGGCCGCTGCCACTCTGCCCTGTTCATCCTATTCATTTTGGTTTCCCCAGCACCAAACACAGCACCTGACATGTAGCGGAATCTCAAAAATTATTTGCATTGAAGGAATGGAGAGTGCTAGGCCCTTGGTCAATCAGACCCAGATCCTACCCTCAGTGACATTATGGCCCAATCATAAATACGCAACATACTAGATGCGAAGACCCGTGTGTAAGCACTGGCGTCATGCCTGGCACAGAGCAGGCCCACGATAACTATTTGTTCTTTCCTCCCTTCCTTTCTTGTATTCTCCCCAGAACCTACCCTCCAAGATTGCCCAAAGGGAGGAAGTGCTCAAGGCTTTAGAAGTGGCAAAGATGAATTTTGTCTGGGAGAATCAATGAAGGCTTCCCGGAGGAGGGAGCATTTGGTCTGGCTCATCCAGGACTCTAAGCAGCATGAACACGGACACAGAGTTGCGTGGGAAAGTAGAGACGTGCGTGGAGAAATGCACAAAAGTGCAGCTTTGTTTGTGGAACTATATGAAGGGAAGAAGTAGAAAACAGGGTAGGAAAGTCCCTTGGTTACTAGGTTAGGGGCCCTAAAGCATGGTGTGAAAAACCTGGATTTCACTACCAGAGAGATCAGATAGCCCCGGGCCTGGCCCAGACTCTGTTGTCTGACTACAGACTATGTGATAACTGTGGGCAAGCTACCTAAGTCCTCCGAGCCTCACTTTCTTCACCTGTAGAATGAGGATAATACTACTTACTCTTTTAAAAACATGAATGAGGGCACGCTGCAAATACACACTGTTTGCATCTTTTTCCACTTTGGGAAAAATCTGCATATTATCACATACAGGGTTAACTCTGTACTCACTTATATGCCATTATCACACTCTAATTAACTTTTCTATTTATGGATATTTAGGTTGCTTCCGATCTTTAAGTAGTTTGTGTCTGTGTATCTACAAGATGAAATTCATAAAGTAGCATTGCTAAATCAAAGCGAATACAAAATTTAAATGTTGACCGAATCACCAACTTAGTCTCCATAAAAGAGGGAATCAGGTTCCACTTCTATCAGCAATATATGTAAAGGTCTCTTTCCTTATGCCTTCACTAATAGGGTTACCAAATTTTTTTGATTAGGGTTACCAAATTTTTTTGATCTTTGCCAATCTGAAAGGCTTTGCGTGTGTGCGTGCGTGCGTGTGTGCGTTTTATTTATTTATTTTGTGAGAGAGAGAAAGCGCATGCAGGAGGGGCAGAGAGAGAGGGAGAGAGAGAGAATCCCAAGCAGGCTCCATGCTGTCAGTGCAGAGCCTGACGTGGGGCTCAAACTCACAAATCGTCAGATCATGACCTGAGCTGAAATCAGGAGCCAGATGCTTAACGGAGCTACCCAGGCACCCCTGAAAGGTTTTAAGTTGGCATCTCATTGTAGTTTTACTTTACATTTTTATTATTAAAATTGAGGTTGGGCACCTTTTCAACTTTTAAAAGCCATTTGCATTTCTTCTCTGGGAACTGTTTGTAGCCTTTTATCATTTCCATTTGGTTGTTAGCTTTTTTCTTATGGATTTATAGGAACTATTTATTTATTAAGGAAATTAGTTCTTCAGGATATGGTCACAAATGTTTCCACAATTTGCCACCTCTCTTTCACTATGTCTATTTTATTCCCCTGGAAGATATTTTTTCTTATCTTTATGTAGTCATACTGGCCATTTCTTTCCTTCACAGTTTCTGTATTTTGAATCCTGCTCAGAAAGGCATCTCACTCCCAGATAATGAAAGAAATCCTGGCTTTATTTGGGGCTGAGGAGAGAGGCAGGAAATTCTGCTTTATTTTTTCCCAGATGGCAGTCACACTAACCCCATTTCTCTGGATTCCTTTAAGCAGCAAGAGCCATTCAAGAACCAGTCAAGGGGCCCTGCTGAGAGGAAGAACACAGATTGACGTAAGTGTTCTAAATGTCATTTCATCCCCACAACCACCACGTGAGGTGTCAGCATCTTGTTTCTCAAATGAGGGAGCCAAGGTTCAGAGAGATTGAGTAAATTGCCCACAGTGGCACAGCCAGCAAATGACAGACCTGGGATCTGAACACCAACCAACGTCTGTGTTCACTCCACCCAGGAGCATTAAGAGTCCGAGGGGAGGCATGGTATATACCATACAGGGCTTTCTGGAAGGATTGGATGACAGCTTTTCAGTCTCGTCCTCCTCGTTCCTTCCTTCCAAAGGCCTCCTACACTCTGTGGCCAAAGCTCCCTGTAGCCAGCAGACACGGGTGTCTGTCCCGGCAACGCTGCCCCTGTTCGAAATGACCAACAAGGAACAGTCACAGGAGCCAGAAAGAAACCTTCGTCGTGTTCACTGAAAATTCTTCAGTTGATGGGTAGCAGCAGCTAGCATTAACCTGAGTATTAGAACTGTCCAGTCACAACGGATCCTTGAGGGAACCACAATCGAGGGCAGTTAGTTCATCTCTGAGACCATCTCCTTCTTTCCACTTGCCTGGAGGCAGTGGTCCTTCTTTCCTGCGCTGTCTCAAGAGCATCACCCACTCCATCCCTTCCCTTCCCTCCCTGTTTCCTCTCTTTTCCCACAGCCCTAGTCTGAACCATGCTTTGAGAGCTGAGAAGCTCCCTCGCAAGCTGGCAACACTCACTCAGGTCTCAGGCTGTGCACAATCTTTGTATCTATTTTGGAATGGGCTAGAGCAGTGAGAGCAGGGAAATTCATAGGAAACACACACAGGAGCGCTCCAAGGTAAACCCTTCAACCTGCCCGGGGCCCCCGCTGCGGGTGCTGCATAACCGATTCTTCTCCGGTCCCTCCAAGCAGGACACAGGCCCAGTGGGGAGTGCCTTGGCCTGGTTATAATATCCAGCTTTTATTACTGCTCTTTCTATATCTTATCAGTGGGGTAAAGGGCAAGGGCCTTAGGCATGTGTCCAAGGACATGCACCACGCTCACAGCAACTCGCTGGCCCAATTCAGGCAAGTTGTGCTCTGAGAGGTCTAATTTCGCAAAAGGCAGGTTAGGCTGTCTTGCAGATGGTGGCGGTGGTGCCAGCAGCAGGGGCGGTGACAAGGGTAAGTGGGGGGCAGTGATGTCAGAGAGGCAAAGACTCCAAGGGAGGTGGTCTCTTGGTAGCAATTTTAAAATGCCTCTGTGGGGGCACCTGGGTGGCTCAGTCGGTTGAGCGTCCGACTTTGGCTCAGGTCATGATCTCACATTCTGTGAGTTCGAGCCCCGCATCGGGCTCTGTGCTGATGGCTCAGAGCCTGGAGCCTGCTTCCGATTCTGTGTCTCCCTCTCTCTCTGCCCCATCCCTGCTCATGCTCTGTCTCTTTCTGTCTCAAAAATAAATAAAAACATTAAGAAAAAAAATTTTTTTTAAATGCCTCTGTGGGATGTGTCTGGGTGGTTCAGTCAGTTAAGTGTCTGACTTTGGCTCAGGTCAAGATCTCACGTTTGTGAGCTCCCCCCTGCCTGGGGCTTGGGGCTGACAGGTCGGAGCCTTTAGCCTGTTTTCAGATACTATGTCTCCCTCTCTCTCTCTGCCCCTCCCCCACTCACACTCTGTGTCTCTCTCTCTCTGTGTCTTAAAAATGAATAAACATTTAAAAAAATGCTTAAATGCCTCTGTGGGAAAAGTTACGGACTACCCTTGAAATCAGATTTTATTTTTTCTGTTAATAACAGGCGTCTCCTGAAGTAATGTCTTTGACATCAGCCATAGAAACACTTTTCTACATCCGTCTCCTCAGGCAAGGGAAACAAAAGCAAAAATAAACAATTGAAGCTCAGTAAAATAAAAAGCTTTTGCACGGCAAAGGAAACCGTCAACAAAACAACAAGGCAACCTACTGAATGGGAGAAGATAGTTGTGAATGACAATATCCAATCGGGGGCTAATATCCAAAATATATAAAGAACTCCTACAACTCAACACCAAAGAGAACGCCAAATAATCGGATTTAAAAATGGACAGAGGAACTGAGTAGACTGTTTTTCCAAAGAAGACATCCAGGCGGCCAACAGACACATGAAAAGACGCTCCACATCACTCATCATCAGGAAAAGGCAAATCAAAACCCCAATGAGCTACCCCCTCACACCTGTCAGAATGGTTAGAATCAAAACGATAAGAGATAACAAGTATTGGGGAGGATGTAGGCTCATCCGCGATTGGTGGGAACACAAATTGGTGCAGCCACTGTGGAAGACAGTATGGAGTGTCCTCAAAAAAATAAAAAATAGAATTACCATATGATCCAGTAATACCTCTGCTGGGTATCTACCCAAGAAAATGAACACACTAACTCAAAAAGATAGACGTACCCCTATGTTTACTGCAGCATTATTTACCATAGCCAAGATATGGAAGCACATGTAAATACATACATATATATATATATATATATATATATATATATATATACACACTGTAATATTACTCAACCATAGAAAAATGAGATCTTGCCATTTGCAACAACATGGATGCCTAGAGGGTATTACGCTAAGTGAAATAAGTCAGAGAAAGATAAATACCATGCAACTTCACTTATGTGTAAAATTTAAGAAACAAACCAAATGAACAAAGAGATAAAAATACAGACTCTTAAATGCAGAGAACAAACTGGTGGTTGCCAGAGCAGACAGGTGGTGGGATGGTTGAAATAAAGGGGATTAAGAATACACCTAAGGGGTGCGCGCCTGGGTGGCTCAGTTAGGTAAAGCGTTCAACTTCGGCTCAGGTCATGATCTCACGGCTTGTGGGTTCGAGCCCCGCGTCGGGCTCTGTGCTGACAGCTCAGAGCCTGGAGCCTGCTTCGGATTCTGTGTCTCCCTCTCTCGCTCTGCCCCTCCCCTGTTCATGCTCTCTCTCTCTTTCTCTCTCTCAAGAATAAATAAAACATTAAAAAAGAAAATTTTTTTAAATGAAAAAAGAATACACTTCATTATGGTGAGCACTGAGTAATGTAGAGAATTGTTGAATTATTATTTGCTACACCTGAAACTGATACAACACGGTATATTAATTACCAGAAAAAAACAATAGTGCCTTTATCATCCCAGATGTTGAGGGGCATCACAATGGATGACGTGATCTACTTGGTGCTAACTACTCACTGACCTTGAGTAACCACTAGAAAGTCGTTGGGTCTTGAATTCCTCAAATTTTAAAGTGATCATTCTCACTGCCTAAGCATTGCCCGGTGCGCTGCGAGGAGAAAGACCTTTATACCTTCCCAGTTCTGGCTACCTTATTTTTTTCTCTACAACTCAGCTCGAATGTCATCTCTTCTGGCAGAATGTCTCTAAGCCCAGAGTCGACTGGTCTAAACTCCCATCTCTGTGCTCTCAGCAATCCATGCATTCTTGTAACACATCCCCACTGTCTGTTCATATCTTGCCCTCTCATCGGATGGCAAACGCCTTTCAAGTAGGGATTGGGACTGTTCCTTGCCTGACTGTGGCCAATTCATCCCAGTGCCTGGCAAAAGGGCAAGTGTGTTCGGTAGAAATCAACCCTTTTAGCCAAAATGGAATATTTTTCAATAGACGGTTTTGGAAAGGGAATCTTAGGACTTGGACACTGCACAGACCTAAACCTTCAGAAGAGGAAAGGAAGGCCCTGAAAATGAAATGGCTTGCCCAGAGCAGAGCCACATGTCAGCAGCCCGGCTGACACATGAGCACCTTTCCTGGTGGAACAAAGCTTGTTAGTGACATCGGAAACTATCCCCAGGCTGAGGTCTGCTGGTATGAAATACCCCGAGACCCATTCATTAGTCGGTATGGTCTTTCACCCCAAAGTCTAAAAAATTCTTTGGCCTCTGTATTTTCTGTCCTTTTCATTTCTACTAGATAGTTTTCTTTTAAAAATTTTACCTTTTATTAATTTTGATTATAAAAGTTTACATGTTTATTGTAGAGATTCTGGAATATGCTAAAAAGTAAAAGAAAGAAAGAGAGAAAAATTAAAAATACCCTAGAATTCCATAAGCCAGAGACAGCCGACATTAGTATGGGATATTGCCACGGATAAATCTATGTGACTGAGATCAGGTTATATGTTGAATTTTATGCTTTTTCTTACTGTTGGGTTGTGAGTAAAGTCCTTAAAAATTAGGTTTTCCAGGGCACCTGGATGGCTCAGTCGGTTGAGTGTCCGACTCTTGATTTTGGCTCAGGACATGATCTCACAGTTCATGAGTTCGAGCCCTGCATCAAGCTCTGTGCTGACAGTGTGGAGTCTGCTTTGGATTCTCTCCTCTCTCTCTCTGCCCCTACTTCATTTTCTCTCTCTCAAAATAAATAAACTTAAAAAAAATTTTTTTTTAAATCAGGTTTCCTTTGTAGTGTTTGTGCTGGAAGCTTCTCAATCAGTACACTTTGTACTGAGTTAATTTATAAATAAAAAGGAGCCAATAATGAAATAAAAAGGAAAAATGATACATAATCTATTATTTGTAATAGCTACACTTTAGCCTATCGGAATAGATCACCTTTTCCTAACATCTGGGTGGCTCACAATTTTTCCCTGCAATACACGAAAACTGTGTTTATTTCACCATCTCACTGTGATGAAACATCTCTGTATGAAATCTCGATCTGTATTTCTAAGTATTGCTTTATGAGTCCTATGTTATGTCCTCAACTTTGAAGGAAAGGTTTTAAAAAGGTGAATTATTTTAAAACTTAGGATCAGCTCAAAAGATCATGCTGTTTTTCAAGTTGCCTTAAAAGCACTGATCCCAGGGGCACCTGGGTGGCTCAGTCAGTTGGGCATCCTACTTTGGCTCAGGTCATGATCTCACGGTTTGTGAGTTCGAGCCCCACGTCAGGCTCTGTGCTGACATCTCAGAGCCTAGAGCCTGCTCCAGTTTGTGTGTCTCCCCCTCTCTCTGCCCCTCCCCTGCTCATGCTCTGTCTCTGTTTCTCAATAATAAATAAATGTTAAAAAAAATTATAAATGAGGCTGAAGAGGAAGAGACAGATCCAGATGTGGTTCAGTCTTCTGGAGACACATGAAAAAAAAAAAAAAAAGCACCGATTCCATTTTGGTAGAAAAAGGAAAGATAATTCAATAAACAGCAAAAAATATATATAATAGGGTCAAATGGTGTTAAGTTTGGCTTGTAACATTAGACACTTGACTCTTAGTATTTGAGGGAGGGATTGATTTCTTTTTTTACCTAGAGCTATAAATTACATGTTAATTGCACTTATGTAATGCTAAAGAAGAGATACTGCTTTTTGAACTATTTATGCCATCTGTATAAAAGTTAAATAGTCTGAGGAGCACCTGGCTGGCTCAGAAGAGCATGTGACTTTTAATCTCAGGGTCGTGAGTTCAAGTCCCATGTGGGGTGTAGAGATTACTTAAAAAAAAAAAAAAAAAAAAAAGAAGTGAATAGTTTAAGTTCAAAGATAAAGTAACTAGAAAGACTATCTGGTTCTTAGAACAGGGAAGCCAGCTCCTGGATTTAAGTTTGTAGCCATAGGAAAACGGAAGTACAAGAAAGCTGTTTCCCTAATAATCTGTTTACAGAAAAAAACACACATCTTAAGCTTCATCACATAAAGTTTAAATATCTGCAGATTCATAAAAAAATATTTTATTTTATTTATTTATTTATTTATTTTTTTAACATTTATTTATTTTTGGGACAGAGAGAGACAGAGCATGAACGGGGGAGGGGCAGAGAGAGAGGGAGACACAGAATTGGAAACAGGCTCCAGGCTCTGAGCCATCAGCCCAGAGCCCGACGCGGGGCTCGAACTCACGGACCGCGAGATCGTGACCTGGCTGAAGTTGGATGCTTAACCGACTGCGCCACCCAGGCGCCCCTAAAAAAATAGTTTAAACAAGGTAAAAGCTACAATAAAATTCAGGTTGGAGAGATTAAAAATAAAAGCAAGCAAGAAAAATAGACCCCTAAATGTTTCTATTTTTCGGTTCTACATGTATTTGTGCTGAGGACATTATATCGATACTAGCTTATGGGGATTATACTTTCATTTCACAAACATAAAAATGTATTT